ATTTATGAGCGATAGATGGGAACAATTCGCATCGTGAGCGGCGAGTCAGGAGCACCCTTTATAAAAAATTCCTAATATTGGTCGCAACAAAAATGGCAAAAGGGTTCTGTATTAAATACTTCAGATGAAATATTACGATAACACATTTTTTGATTCGAGTGAATATACACCCTGCACTGCGTGTGAAATATGAATTGAAAACGCAATCATTGCCTGGAGATTCAAAATTTAATTACCAGAAATATTGAATGTCAAATCCCAGTATCCAATCATAGTGGTAGCATCGAGTGATACGCACGCCTGAAAATCGAAATTGTGCAATAACCAAAGTTTCATTCAATCAAGGCTTTTTAAATGAAGCTTACTCATTTAAATGAAGGAATAAGGATGGAAGCTCAAAGGTTTTAAACGTCAACTGTTTACTGCCAGTGTTTTAGAACACTTTAAATGGGCCTGTTGAACGACAGTTTGTATTAGGACATTATGCTTAAGATGATGACATAAGCGCAGTTGAAAGAAGAGTATATGTAGTAGTGTACTGGTAGTGGACTTAGAACAATAAGAGCACATGAGGCTAACGTCTTGCGCAAATCCCACGAATTCCGCATTTTGAAAGACGTGTCTATCGTTACCAATTTTCACTATACGACAATCAGGACTAAATCTAGTCATTCGAACAGGTTCGGCATCAAGCCATCTGATACGCCCTTTGGTCATATCCATTCCAATCCATGCGTCACTATTCACGCCATATAGCATCGATAACACAAAGCCTTAATTTGATACGATCATTTTAACCGTACAGTACCCAGTGGTTATTCGATGGACATGCAATTTCGCATGAATGAACCAGTGAAATGCATTGGCTTTCTCACCTTGTTCGTACGGATCGGTTAGACTGACTAATGTTGACTTCAATTCTTCACATGATTTTTTCGCTTTATCGAACGTTTGAGCTGGGTCTTTGTTCAAACCAAACACTTTGTAGCACATTCCTCCTGGAAAATTATTCATTTGCAGTGTTCAGCAATCAACTGAACAAGTTCAACAATGCAACAGTCTTTATGGTGTTGATAAACTCAGTTTCATAAATTAGATGTGCTTGAAGAAAAACAGCTTAGATCCATTAGAATTTTTAAAATTTTTTGTTTTCACCATATGCCACCGATTAATAACAAAAATAAATCGCTTTGCAGTTCTGCTTATTGATAAGTCTGATTTGCTTTTGATTCAACACATTCTTGCTTATAGTTTGATTCAGATCTTCACGAGGGTTTTTGCTCTTAATCAATATAACAGAAAGCTGTGACCGAGATTTTCTGTGAAGCGATTAGCATACATTTTGTTATTGCAACCAAATAAGTGCGCATTACTGAACACAGAGAATTACGGTCTTTTCATTTGTACACTATTTCATTCAGACAATAACTCTTGTTCGGCTAAGATGCATTCAACGTCAGTTAGTTTCTTTACTTCGTAGTTATCCAAAATGTGAGGCCGGAAAAACATGACGAAAGCATTGCTAAAATGAAGCTTGTAACGAGAAAAGCTCACTGAAAAGCTTGTAACCATCGGGACATTTCCAGGATGATGAAATCGCTTTCTGTTCATCCTTCTTTGAGGTTATCTCGTGCAATTTCGAACCAAAACCTGGTTTTTGACAAATCGCTAACCGCTTATTATCGCATCTCTGATGAATCCACGAATAGTCTGCAATAGTTCTGCATTACTCGAATGAATACAACGAAGCACTCGGTTTGCGATGAAACAACAGTGATAACGTAACCAGGTTCATTTTCGGTGGACTGAATTTCATCTAGTGCTTTGTGGTGAAGAATGGACGCGATGAACAAGGAATGTGCACTGAAAATGAAATTCGTCACATCTTACATTGCAAGCAAACATCTTCCTCTTTGCTCATTTTTATTTCATTATTAATTTGTTCTGAAATTATTCTTAAATTGCAGTGATCTGTTCGTAAATTTCAAAGGTTTGGCTGTTAAAAAAACAACTAGAAATCCAGAAAGACGTAAAGGGTGATGGAAATTTTAAACGATGGAAACGGTATTATTCAGCGAACCTCATTTTCAACTTCATGGCGTTACACGCTCCATATTCATTACCTTCATCTTCGTCTTCATTTTCTTGCGTTCTCAATTCCATGTAATTCAGTGCTGTATCGTCCGACCACAGATATTGTCTGAAAAGCGATCGAACGTTCAGAATTTCAACCAGATATTTTTATACATGACTGCGTGAAGAATTCAAACAGAATTTCACAGTCGATGTTTGTGGTCCGGTCCGTAAAGTAAGACAAATACGCCCAAGCACTAATCATAAAACTGAAAGTACTATCATCATACGACTCCTGAAAACAATCTTAATGTGGATACTGTAATATCCTTTGCTTGTTGCTTTTTGTTCTGCAATTGTTTGCGTACGGCTTTGCTCAGTAATCCGCTCATATTTTGCGATGAATGTTGGGTGCAATGAATTCGTGATAGCTCACTCGCACGTTGAGGCAATGGCAAACACGAATTTTTGTTTAAGACTATGAAATTTGAGTTCTTTCAAAAGACATTCTGAGCATAGCAGCAGAAAACGCTAAAATATTACTGGTCGCATTCATTAGGAACACTTTTCAGATGTTGGAATGAATAGGATCCGTTTCCGTTGGTTTTGATATCTGTAGACATCCAATTTTGAGCGAACACTCTTCGTTTAATGTGAATTATCCAATAACAAGCAATATAACATCATCGCTTTCAGCTCATTCATGAACTCGGAATAAGAAAATTTATCATCACTGTTTTGCATAAAATACGGTGACTTCAATAAGAATAAGGCACAAACTGCCGGAGGAATTTACTTTATCAAGAAGATAGCCTTGTTATGTGATTCGTATGCCTTTTTAAGTTGATCTCTTGTATGTGTGAATATATCAGTCTGAACATGACAGACTAAATGAAATAAATCATATACCTCTGCGCGTTTCGTCGATGTAAACCAATCCAATATTTCGTTTCACCACTTATTGATGGCTGAATCATTATCTGAAATGAGGCTATTAAATACAGTGCTATCAAAGCGTTGGAAGCATTTATTATTGTGATGAATCTTAGTAATAATAGATGAATGGTCAAGTTTGAAATCTTCAAAGAATTAGGTGTTGAAATGTTGAATCGATGTGCAAGTGAGGGTGTGTAGAATGAAACCGAAACAATACCATTTGATAGATGAACTCAGATTGTTTTTTGGAGTGTATCGATGCCAGATCAGACTCGTATTCCACTTCGCATGACTCCCTTGCCTGTTGCCAAAAGTGCTGTTTCGTTAGTAAGTGGTAGCATATCGTTTCACCATTCTCATCTTTCATCGGACAATACAGTGGATCTGTTCCGCACGGAACTGAACTCAAAATGTGTGCCAAATTATTTTCATTCACAACATGTAAATGTCTTCAGATAAATTGTTTCAGATCCTCAGATACGTAAATACATTCAACTCTTCAGTCCTGGCAGAATGTATATTGTATTTTGCCATTTTGATATATTTACTGTTGAACTTTGAGTGCTTCTTTTAGAAATCACTGCGTAAATCGAAAGGATGTCTTGAAAACTTGCAATATAATAAGGCATGCGAGTGAGGCAAGGTAATGTGATTGAATTTATTTAGCGGAGATATCACGTGGAATGTGCATGATAGCATCTTATTCTGGAATTTGATTGTGCATATGTACAAAAATTTTTTGAGAATTAGTCAAATCGGAATCCGAAAACAAATTTTCGCTCGCCAAACTTTAACATACATTGCAAGCTCATTTCGTTCCGATTTTCTTCGATAACTTCAGCCGATTTCTCATCTAAGTGTTCATCCAAAACGAGATCATCATCAATGCGATCCTGAAGACACAGAATTTTTTACTGATAATTTTGATGCTTTCATTAGGGGTATTGATATCGATATCGAGTCTACGGTATCCTAATAAAGATTATTCGTGAGTCATTGGTTTGTACAGATCGATTAATGATTTAAAAAATCTGAATACTGACCAAAACAATTTTGTTATTTTCAGGAGTGAAATCGAATGAAGAAAAAGAAAGATATCAATGTTGAATAGATAATATGCTATCAATAGCAGCAAATTATGTTGTAAAAATTGTCTCCGAACATAACCACTTGAACTGAGAATAGAATGTTTAATAAGTGATAAATTAATCATGCACTCTTTAATACCTGTTGTAAAGCAGGCATTTTACAGATGAAATTTCTTCTTTGTGTACATTCGCTCATGTTAAAATATCGTTTAACCTCATCACCATCATCATCTCTTTCAACTGAAATCATTTCGTTGTTGATTCAAAATAATGCGTCGAAAAAATAAATGTCAACAGTTTATTAAAAGATTAAGTTTCATCTGCAAAAAAAGCTTTAAAAAAATCACAATGTTTTATTATGACTTTTGAGTGGGACCGAGCAATGGGAAATAGTGATGGCATCCGAGCGGAATTTCGGTCGGTTGGAATTCGACCGAATCCACTTTTCAACATTCCGAAGGTCAGCATTTCGAACGACTGTCGAAGTTGTTCGGTCGTAATCCAAATATGGAAATTCCGACCGAAATTATCGGATTTTTCCGACCGACCTCGATCAGATGTCATCACTAGTGGAAAATAGATTCAATGACATTGAAGGCAAACAACTTATAGTGGTTATCGCATATGTGGATCAAATATGTGGTTGCGCATTCATGTCAATGATATGGAAATTTGTCGACAAAATTGCTCTCTTAACTGTGTCCTACGTATCAAATAGTAGCAGCTGGTTTAGGGATGCTTCAAAAATTGTCGTTGCTAAATGTTATCTCAAATTGGATCAACAACCACCATAAAATTTGCAATATCAATTTGGTTGATTGCTAAAATTGCGTAGAGAAACGACTAGTCAGATCGCAATCGCCCAGAATATGTATCAGCGAAATCGCGCTCTTTCAGAGTAATTCTCTCGCAATGCTTTACGTTGCACAACCTGCCATGGCACACCTAATAGATTTTCGCTGCAAACAACCGTCAGCAGTAAATCAATTAAAGAAATCCTGAAATTAGTAACGACATTCCAATTTTTGGTTTCGTTTGGAGTGAAGTTGAATAAATACTCACAATGATATGACAGACAATAATGCTGGCTCCATTCTTCTATTTTCGGTACTCTGACCTCAACATCGCCAATTTTTGTCAGCTTTTTGATATCGGACATCTCTCCGTCAGTCCACCTGAAGTCAGTCTTTTTCGACAGCTGCGGAGTTAAACAATCGACGATTTTAAGAAAGACTATATTATTGAGGAAATAATCTGAGGAAGAAATTTGTGAGTTATCAAATAACTGAGTGTTATATGATACCTCATTTCAGGCATCTTTTTGGCATTTTGATTTGGACACAATTGTCCAAATCCAATCCACCATCCCAAGTTTGGTGTTTTTTTATACAGTTGACTAATCCAACGCGATGAAGCGTTCTGAACTCCAACCTCCGTTTGTATCTTAAAAAGAATTGATAACCATGGATCAACTATGATCAAGATCAAAACAAAAAACTTGAATCAATGATCCGAATAAATCACACCTTCGATAATTGAACACAATGTTAAAACAGCAACTAAACCGTGTACGACAGATATAAATTTTTGTTGCCTCAGTGAGCGAATATTTGTCAGCGTAATCCTGATGTAATATTTTACATAAGCAATAGCATGTGTACTCTATAAAATAACTTACAACAGCGTCAATTTTGCTTAATTCTTTCTCGTCTTTGATCGAAATCAAATGTGCTCCATTCCAGTGTTTGCAACCCTCTTCAGCTTGTTGCCAGGTCATTCGAAAGGTCATGAACACTTTTGCACAATGTGTAAATGGTGAATCTGGAGACTCTCTTATTGGTAACCAACCCGAGAGACACTTTCGTTCATCTTAATTACGCTCAATGATCCGTTTAGCTTTTAGAAATGGTCAATTAGTTCTATGGCACATTTCTAGGGGGATATAAAAACTATTGCAGAGCTCGTTTAATTGAGAGCTGCTTGGGAAATTTGCTCTTTTTTTGAAATTCCAATAGATTACTTCCGGAATGGCCAACAACAATAGTGAAATAAAATATGTTACGTTTAAAGTTGTTGTCTTCATTCAGTTGTATGTCTTTGAAAATAGAATTTTCGTCAGGGTTGGGACCATGACTGGCATATGTATGAGCAGTAGTTATTCGCGTGAATAAACTGAAGGAGATTAGAAGGAATAGTGAAAAATTATTCAGGGAATATTTACAAATCATCGCCTGAAATGTCACCATCAAGAAAATCTTCACTTATGCAATGACGCAAACAAATTATGACAGTTATGGAAAATACAATTGCTGATGTTGATGCGTTTATATTCGTTCATACGTACGGATAAAATGAATTAAAAGTACGACTACGTATATTCATCTATCAGATAAGAAATTAAATCACACTTATCAGTACCATTCCGAATGTTTCGCATAACTAAAAATGTTTTCAAGTGGTTAGAAATAGATCTTAGCGAGTAAAACTCATAGAAGGTGAGCGGTAATCATCTTCCTTACCTCTCGTGATTATTAATTTATTATACAGTAATTTTGCAATATGATGTGCAATATAGATGATTGCTATTCTGCACAACTAAAACTTTTACATTTGATGATATGAATGAACATGCAAGCAACGCAAGGTGTATGAAGGATCTGAGCATCTCTGCATGGAACGTAAATCGGATTTATGCATGTGTGTGGTGTAGATAGCACTGTAGCACAACAAACATCCTAGAAGAAGACGTTTGAAGTAAATGATGCGTGTAAAATACAATCAAAACAAACAAGAATGAATTTTATGTAACATCAAATTCATTGTTATAATAAAACAAATCTTATTTATTCATTCGATTTTTTAGCGCTGCAGTGGACAGTAGATCAGCTAACAACGATAACTTATATCTATATGAACAGAAAAGTATAAGGATGGTATCACGCGCGCACATACACACAAAACAAACAAATATTTGGACATTTAGCATTGATCAATTGCGATAACGAGCACAGAAAATGTCAGTGAATGATAAAAGTATCAGTTGAACGCAGCAAGTAACGTATCAAAATGAAAGATAGTGATAAGATTTGATGAAAGCAAAACAAATCATAAACCAGAAGTTTATGTCAATATTAAGTCAACTTTCTCATTTCATGCGAAACTCTTTGATGGTGAACGATGATTCTTTGTGATTATTAGTTAGAGTGAACAAAATATTCCTTGAAATCTGAGTTAAGGTACTTTTTTAAATGCTATCATCATTGCTGGAGTTCTCAGAAAGTCACAGAAGGAATAGTTTCTCAAAACTTCGAGCAATCACTCCCAGCTCAGTTGAAAGCACATTCGCGCTGTCTGCGACACAAAGTACGTAGTTCAAGATAATATTCAGAACTACCGCCACATCCAGCTTTTCAAATGGCTCACCCCGTACTCGATAGAGTTATTGAATATAGAGGACATTAAGCTTTTTTGGCGGTGCTTCAGATCCGATAAAATCGGTTGATTAAATGTTGATTGAGGCCTTAATATCGAATTTTCGAGTTCGGAATGAAATTTTGCCCATTTTCTTTGTCATCACTGAACCATTTCATCGACTCTTCAACTAAATTCGGTCAAAACCTAACAAACACCATGCTCTGCCCCTGAGCTTTCTAGCTTTCTAGTTTTCACTGACAAGTAGTTTTCTAGTCAACAATTTTTTTGTAACATAAAATGGAACAAAATGTTTCAAACGGTTATTTGATGATTATTTTGATACATGCAATATTTTTATCTAAAACAGCAAGGAACAAAAAAAGAACGCAGGAGAAGCGATTGATGCTGATCAAAATATTAGTGTTCACTATCCTCTAAAGTGAGCGTTTTAAACAATTCGATTCATACACTTTACAATTTCATTATGTGCGTTAACGAATCGTAATTTCTATATTGCATTTCAAGGCTTCTTATGGTATTTGGGAATGTTCACAATGCGATATGGTAATGTTATTGAAGTGAATATTATTCTGTCTTCAGTCAGACAACCTTTCGTCCCCATTATTGGTCAACAATACGCACAACACAAACATCAGTATGCTTCGGCAGAAACGTTCACAGTGCTATGTGTAGCAATGTCAACAATGAACAATCCGTATGGATGATGGACTACAGTTATGTCTTCATGACATATTCACTTCCCAAAAAATGTTGGTAGAGTTCACTTGAGAGTGCAAAACGATCTGCATGAAAATGCAATATCGAACAAAAATCCTGGGTGCAATTCCCGCATGCTGAAGGATTACATTGAATGCTATTTAAGTTTAGCTACATAATTTCGATGAAATTATAGAATGCATGATTCGTTCCTTCCGGATCGTTACACTTGTTTGCAGTGTACTGATCGCTCACCAATAGATTTTTACAGGCAAATAAGCAGGTTCTCATTTACGTCTAATACAAACATTTATCCGGCATGAATACGCAAATTATTTGGTAATTTCTCTTGTAATTAATGACGTATTGTCGTTGACATCACACTTGGATTCCTTGCGACACCTTTCGATGAATTCATGTGCCTGCAGTCGATATGACGATGGAATGCGTTTACGTTTCTCGAAATATAACATTGTTTGTTGATAAACACCAATATATTGCTCACAACACTGCAACCCATAATCGAATACTATTTTTAGTTGTTGTTTCATTATTATCGAAATAAAATTCGATTTCATTTCAGAACAGTTTTGTTGCTAATTTGAAACTGATTCATACATAATTTAACAATACAGTGCAAATTTGCCACAGTTCATCGATGACAAAAAGGGAAAACAGTTGCTTAATAACTCTTCAATAAACAAGAACTGTTATCATTTCTAAATCATAAAACTCAGAGTATCATGTCAGCGTGCTCTAGAGTAACAGATAAAACCGTTGATGTTTTGGTAGCGTTTACAGCTCTTATCTTTAGTGACTATTTGAAACATCACATGGAACCAGTGCTCCTGGCGAATTTGATGAACAAGAAAGTAATTTTTTAATTTCAAAAATTTAACCATTTCTTCAGCACTCACTGCCTTAACGAAGTGCATGCCTCTAACTAAAGATTACGAATAATCTAGCCGAACTAATTCAACCATACTGAAAATGAAATTTTGAATTGTATGATGATTTGCAAACAAAATCCTCATCCAGATCATACAACCAAACTCACATTTATGGCCATTGCTCGTTGGTTGCGTAAGATTCTAAGTAATTCAGGCATATCACATTTATGACCATCCATAAGCATTTCGAGAATTAATTCGATTGCAACGAACGCTCCTGTGCGACCGACACCCGTTGAACAGTGCACTACAGTTGGCCTCCTTAAAACAACGCAACTTGTTCGGGTAACGTTATGCAAAATCACCTAGTAATCGCATTTATGTTGCTGATCAAACATCTGCGATCAGATGCATTTTTCATTTGTGTGAATTTGTCACTCTCATATCTCATTGTCAGTCTAGACGCCATCATCAATCTAGCATATGAAATTCTGCTATAAGCGTCACTGAAGCAAACCTTGAACGTCGTACTTCTCTAGCGATAAGTCGAATTATTTCAAACGACGGCGATCCTTTACGATCAGCCCATTGCGACCAATAGAAATGCGAACAGCTATGGATACCCAAGCGTGAACTGACGCGTAATTTACTTTTAATAACCGTGAATGTTCGGTCATTTTCAACCAGTTCAATCTTGAAGTGACACACAAGATTATCTATATTCACCTATCTGTTCCTTCGCACAGTTTGAACATTTCAAATTTTTAAATTTTTGAATGCAGACGAATTATCGATTAGAAGGAAAAGTTGAATTAAAAATTTCAAAGCGATTGCACCGTTCACTTTTAAAGCAGTCAGTTTCAGTCGAAAGTAGAGATGATTAGTGAAATAATCACAAAAATAAACCATCAAACGCATCATTACAGCTCACTCACTCACCTTATCAAATCCATCGTTTTTGATTTCGAAACCTTGAAGTTGTAATTTTTCACCTTGCTTCTGTGGCCAATACTCAGCACACACCGAACAATTCTCTTCAACCAATCCGCATAACATTACAATAAAATCCGAATGTTCTTGACACACCATATGCCAAAAATCTTCCGTTGTTGTATCAAGAGGTGCCTTTAAATGTTATCGATTTCAATTCAAATTCCCTTCAAAGACGTTTTAATCATAATCCGTTATAAGGAGCATCTTATATTCAAATTTCAAACTAGAAGACATTTTGAAGTTAGATGTTTTGAATTCCAAGTTGAATTTCGACGTCTAGCAAATATACTTCATATGCCATTACTTCTACAATGAAAACATTCATTTTGATGAAATAAATCTTGTCACTCACCTGCGTACAAATGAAGCGTTTTTTACACCAAGTTGAACGAATATAATTAGCATGAATATAGTTCTGCGATACATCAACGTCCTTCAGTACAACACGTGTCTTTTCCACACATCCAATATCCTGCAGGATTTTTATTTCGTCGACGCTGTACTTTTTGAACTGATTACACTGCGAATTAATTTATGACCCAATCTCTGTGAGGGATTGACCAAGAATGTAATTTTCATCATACCGCATCAATTTATTATCAGTTTTGTTGTGAATTTTTTTTGAATGAAGCCTCGAACTGAGGATACTGATTGCACAAATTATTCTTGCATGCAAATTTCGGTTTATTCTGACTCAAAATTCGCTGAATACTATCAAAAATTAGTCACCGTACATTACGAGTGAGATCATAATTATATAAATGATATTTCCGCACGTTTCCACACTTCTTATCACCGTTCGAGAAAACGCAAGAATATCACAAAAAGTCGAAATATCATAAAAATGCACTCTGTATCGGTTTTTAACATTATCGCGATCACCAAAAACTGGAGCAGCGTTCATTTCTTTGTCACATTTCTCGAATTCGGCGACAATTCCTTTAACGTCTTTTTGAATTGCATTCGCAATCCAATCTTCTACCTATTCGAAAGTATGCATTCGTAATCTCGACAAACTGGCAAAAATCAACACTCGAGTTTTTCTTCGACTTATACTTATTTTCAGTATTTAGTTCAGGTTGTTCTTCTGATTCAGTTGGAGTAATTCTTGTTGAAACTGCGATTAATTTCTGTAGAATATCTCATTCGAATATATTGGCTTGACTGGAGGAACAGCTCCTTCTTGGATAGGATTCTGGATTGAATTATACGGATGGCAAGGACATGTCTCAAGAATATTACCACTGCTTTTTTGCGTTCACGGCTTACGGCATAATTACCTTCTCGACCACTCTTTGTTCCTTTCTCTTCAATGCTGTCGACTTTATCATATGATCCTTCAATTAATGTTAATTCGAACGAATTTTTGGCATCAGAAACAGCACTTTTACGAATCCAGGAACCGAGAGTGTTTGGCTCGTGGAGTGAAACCGAAATTGGTTTTTTATTCTACCTCGAAGCAGTTCCTAACATCGCGCCTGTAAAAGTTCGCAAAACCATGTTCCAGCAGGAAATTCCGAATTTCGAAAAGTTTTTAAAGTTTCTGACGTCAAAATGCAACGATGAGCTAGCGAAAGAACGATTCTATGAACAGATCGATTAATTTTCATCAATTAATTATTCAAATACACCTCTCCAAATGACTCGGGATGCTTTTGTGGACTATGATACTGTATTTGTACGACTGAAAATTTGTGGAAGCCTATGATTATATGATGAGGTGTCACCTGAGGTGCACAACACAAAATATGTGTTCTTCAGCTTAACTCTCTCATTCGATTCATATTCTTGTGTTGTTTAGTTGCGTCTAGGTGTTTTTTATGCAAGTGATTGCGCACGAATGCTAGTTTGATGATGGGATAACTACCTCTCGCTTCTTCCCTTTCAGACAACGTCATATATAAAATTGGGAATGAATCTTCGCGCTTCAAACGTCGACCACTACGTCTTGTTAATTGAGCTTTGAATCTGGAGAAAAAATAATAACATATTTAAGAGCACTCTTATGAATTGTCGTTCGAGCATGATTCGCATTCAAAACGAATGCAATTTCTGATAGTCGATTTCGTGCTCCATTAAAAATTATGTTGCGAGCAAAAAATGAAACCTCTGTGAAAATAGCGCTCGTTCGGAGCTGAACTGCTTCGGTGATCTGGCTAAAGCGTATCTGCAATACGGTGGCATCTCACTATATTTTGAAAAATTTGGATATTTTTTGTCACGCATTCTCATCACATAATTCGAATGATTCAAAGAGAAATTTAAACGAAAAAGCAATTAATAAATTCAACTCTCTTTGACTAGAAACAATCGAAGCTTTGATAGGATAAAATTCGCCTGGAACATTCTAGAATCAAGACGTGAACTTCATTAAAACTTCATCACCAATGAATAACGAGTGATTCCCTTCTCACTGATTCTGACAACAAGCGAAAGGTTGACGTAAAAAATTAACCAACTTTTTGGGCATTGAAGAGATGAAATCGCAGCCCACCGCTCAGCGCAATAATCATAAAAAACAATGCGATTCGTTTCGGCAATTGGTCAGTGTTACGTTTTTTCTTTTATTGACGATGAGTACTCTGAAATTTGCATCTTCAACTTCGCCTCAGCTTCTTGCATGAATAATGCATCGAAATTTAGCAGACAATCGCGCTTGGTTCGTGTTGATTGAGAGAGAAGGCATTTCTTGGAACGGAAGTAGTACCTCCGAGCCTTCTTAACTATGGTAGCTTAACGAAAATGTTACGAATCGAGTAAAGACACGAACAGTTGAAAAGTCAGAAACGGTCACACACACACACATTTATCTGTTTGAGTGACGGGGAATGATCCATGCTAATTTATTATTTAATCTAATCTCATGTTGTAAGCGGTGGATCACAACATGCAAGCTTTGTCGTGCTTACAAGCTAAAGAAA